TTCATCCAAGTGACCGTTACAAGATGGCTTTCAATGTTCCATTCGGACAATATCAATGGAACGTCATGCCATTCGGATTGAAGAATGCTCCATCCGAATTCCAGAAGATAATGAATGATATCTTCAACAAATACCAAGAATTCACAATAGTCTATATTGATGACATTCTGGTATTCTCAAATACTGTAGATCAGCACTTCAAGCATCTGCAGATATTCCTCAACATCATTAGAACAAATGGTCTTGTGGTCTCCCAACCAAAGATTAAATTGTTCCAAACAAAAGTTAGATTCCTCGGTTACGATATTAATCAAGGGATCATCAAACCAATCCAAAGGTCTCTGGAATTTGTGGATAAATTTCCAGACGTCATACAAGACAAAACACAACTACAGCGGTTTTTGGGTTGTGTGAATGATATTGAAGACTTTATTAAAGATCTCCGTACAATCTGTCGGCCACTCTATGACAGATTGAAAAAGAATCCAAAGCCTTAGACTGTAGAACATACACGCGTAGTCCAATCAATCAAAGCGCTGGCAAATAGCATCTCATGCTTATCCTTAGTGGATGAACAGGCGCACCTCATTATTGACACCGACGCCTCAGACATCGGTTACGACGGTGTTCTCAAACAGGAAGTTAACGGAAAAGTCTCCATAATCCGTTATCATTCAGGAATCTGGAATAGTGCCCAGAAAAACTATTCCACGGTGAAGAAAGAAGTATTAGCAATAGTACTTTGCGTTCAAAAGTTCCAGGGATATCTTATCAACAAAGATTTCACTGTACGAACGGACTCGAAAGCAAGCAAATACATCTTTGAAAATGATGTAAAGAATCTTGTCTCAAAGCAAATCTTTGCAAGATGGCAGGCCATACTGTCTTGCTTTGATTTCCAGATCGAGCCTATAAAAGGAAGTGAGAACTCCCTTGCTGATTACCTCTCAAGAGAACATCTCTTGAAGAAAACAGAATCAGCTCTGACCTCCCTTCCTCAAGATGGAACCTCCTCCCGGCCGGAGACGGCCAAGCTCCCAGCGGCCTCCGCCGCAAAACAATCAGCGACCTCCGTCGCCGAGAAATGAATCAAACATTTCTCCTCAAGCAGCAGCATCCTCTTCTAGGGCTGCCATCTCAAAGGACAAAAGGCCCGTCACTCAAACGTCTGTACCATCTCCAATGAGTGCAGAAAATTATGCTATGGATATCCAGTATGAAACGGTATCCAGGCGTCAGCAAGGTTCTTCCCAGAGAGCCTTGATTATTCAAACAGGCCCTCCAAGCCTTCCAACCCCTTCAAGCACGTTGTTACGCCCTCGCAGCAACACAACGAGGAACAGGGGCCCTGCTACGGCAGCCGCCGCTTCCAGACCAACGATTCCGAGGAACCCTTCCTCGTTTTCTCAAATAGTTAGGCCAAAGGTTTTTCAGCCAAGGCCTCCAATCACTGGGTATTTCACCAAGACTACCCTAGTAGATTCAATTATTGAACCAGAGTTCGACGGACCTTCAGTCCAAGAAGTCTGCAAGCAAATATTTCCTCAAGGCTTCAATTACCTACCAAAGGATCTTCAAAAGACCCGAACTTATTATGAGTTTATTCTGGTAGATTCAAAGTCTGCAGAAATAACTCATGTCCCAGACAGAAATGATCCTTCTAGGACCATTTACTCAAAGCTCAGGATCTTCCGCATCCTTACCCCTTCCTCTTGGAAACAGGGTATGTTTGTAGGGAAGAGACTGTCAGTAACCTTCCAACCGCAAACTTACAATTACCGCGACTACATGAAAGCGTGGTATATTGTCTTCTTGTTGCAAGGCTATAACCATTCCTGGTTTGTGACATTCTGTAAGCAAGCTTACAAGTCTCACTTTCCGATTTGGTTTCAAACATGGTGGACTTACTTTGGACTCTCCGAAGAAATTTTTCCGGTAGAAGTTCAGAGATCTTACCACCTATTCCAACAAAGTATCTATTCGTCTCCTCTCTCCAAGACGTTTAGATTCGCTTTGTATTTTCAAATACCATGGATCCTTTGCTGGAATTTCCAGCTAGGACCCAGTCGAAATTTTAAAGCGTTGAGCAAAGCTCTCCGCGTCAAATGGTGGGAAAAATTCGATTATTCCTACCTAGAATCAGACAAGATGAAAGATTGGTTAAAAACCAACGTTCATCTTCAAGTCGTGACAAGGCAAGAAGACGAAAGCTTCCTTCTGGCCAAAAATGCTGTCATGAGTTCACTTGCTGGAGCCGGATCTCAAGCCGACTTCAACTCGGTCCTCAATACCGTCGCAGTTCAGATCTCTGATTCCGACAATGTCCAAACAGATGTAGATTCTTCCGCATCTGTCAACGATGATGTCGTAGATGCCGTAGAAGACTTCGATCCCTACGATGGATATGACATCAACGACCCATATCTAGATTCACAGCCTAGCTGAGACTAGATATTTCAATTGTTTAATTTAATTTTCTTATTGTAAATTATGTAAATTAATTTGTTTAAATTTTGTTTTGAATTTGGATAAGATCATTGTATTCCGATCTTATCATCACTATCCCAGTCTGTTTTTGTGAAGGACTTGCAGAAGAAATCACGATGCAGTAGATGGCATGCTTCTGATGTGGAGTAACCAACCACAAGGCAACGCATGACGCGTATAGGATTGACTCAGATGAGAGGATTTCATATCTCACAAGGCAACCCTGGTAGAAGATCGATGGTGTTCCTTGGGCAGTGAAAGGCGGGAAGCCGAGAGTAAGACCCTAGATGGAACGGCCTAATTGGAAACCATAGAAGCCTTTACGATTGATATACAGAATCCGCAATCCTCGCTAAATCAGAAGAAGCCGGGTGACTTCATCAGATTTCTAAAGCAAGCATCCAATCCAAAAACAGTCATATCAGCCTTTATTTTCTGACTTTTCTTTATTTTGTCAGTTTGTAATTATTTCCGCTTTACTTTATTTCTTTTCCTACTTTTTCAAAGATAAGATGTCTCTTGTCGGCCACGCTTATCTTTACTTTTTTAAAGTAGATTCCCAAGAGATAAAGATACCAGTCAAGGACTTGTCTTGTCAGCCAAACCTTATCTCTTTAGGATGTATCAAATTATGTTGAGACAAGTGTCAAGACAATAGTAAGAAACCAATAATTGTGCCCTGGCGCAATTATCGGAATTCTTCTATATATAGCACTTGAGTTTTATTTATCTAAATACTTTAAAGCAAATAAATTTCTAAATATTTAATGATGTTGAGAATCTAGGATATATTTTTAAAATATTTATAAAAACAAAAGTATTTAAAGAAAAAAATTGTAATTTCCAAACTGATTTTAAAAATAATGTGAGAGAGATCATGAATGAATTTTAGAAGCTTGAAATTAAGTAATCTGTGGGAACTAAAAAATATTATTTTTTAAATTAGTTTGAAAATTACAATATTTTAATAAATAGTTTTATTTTTAACAATATTTAAAAAATATATCTGAGAGTCTAAGGTTCCATTATACACACACATATAATAGATTTTTTTATTTTTTTTATTTCAGATTGAAAGACTTTAATTTGAAACTTGTGTTTGATCATAAATTTAGAAACAAACAAAATGGTTAGTGTTTCAAATTTTTCATACAAAAATGATAAATTAAAATATTATTATATTTTATTAACAAGATAAATCTCCATCTCAATAGGTAAAATACTTAGTTTTATATTTATTTAAATTACTTTTAAAAAATGTTAAATTATTCTTTAAAAAATAACTGAATATACAACTAAGATGTTTAAATTATATATTTTTGTGAAATTTTGTATTCATGTTATTTATAATTTTAATATATATATATATATTATGGGTGGGGAATTTATTTCAAGACCCCATCTCAAAATATTGGAGGAAATATTAACTTCACATTTTTTTCATTTTGTTTTAAACAAAGAAAACGTCATAAAAATGAATGTATTAAAGAAAATAAAATGAACATAAAATAGGGAGAAAAATATAGAAATTGATTATATTACTCTTGGGCTTGTGCAAGAAGATTGGGATTGGGGAGCAAGTAATGGACTTGGTAATTGGGCATATTTTTTAATATTTGTTTCATAATATGTTATATTATTTCCCTTGTATTTTTTATTTTTTATTTTTAAACATGAAAATGAAAACATATCTATTTTTTTCCCTTGCTAGACAACAACATAATCAAATAGATAAATGATTCATAATTAGTATAAGAGATTAATTTTTGTTCCTACTAGTTTGGGATGCATATGGAAATTCTTGTTTGATTTTACTGGGTAGAAAATTAAAGTTTAGCGAGTTTAGTTAAACGTGACAGTTTAATTAAGATGGTGATTTCAGAGCTGGTGCCACATAGATGCCACTGGAGTGCCACGTACCCCTTTATCTTCTAGCTTGAGATTCACTTGTGCACACAAATATAACACTAATATGATGCTCTGTCAAATGGACTCTACATTTAAGTGAACTTAAATCGGAACAAACGAGTATTAAGCAAGTAGAATAAATACAGTAATCTTAGTAATCTTAGCCACACTCTGCTTGAGAGTGTATGTCAAATTCTCTTAAAGATTCGTGTAGGAAAATCAACTTGCTTACCTTGATTTAACATTTTTCCATGGAGTTTTTTTAAGGAGAAGAGGCACGATGACATTTTAGGTGTTGCCTTTTTATTTGGCCGATAATAGATAAATGTTTAGTTTTTTCTTTTACTCAATAGATAATTTGATAAGTGAATTAATTTTTTTTGGATGTTACTAAATATAGTTAACAATAAGCTCTTGCGCTTGTACGAGTACGAAGAAAGTACTCTGACTCCAGCGATTAAAAATAAAAAAAAAATAAATAACCAATTAGCAATTGGTCAAAATGTGAAATTTTTATAATTTCCCATTTTGGGCCTGATGAAGCTGAAAATTACTACCATGGCGGCTTATGCGGTCGTCTTCGTCTATATATACATTCTCTTATCTTCTTCAATCTTTTAACACAGTTTCTCACGCGAGATTCGGAGAAAAATGGCTGGCGCTTTTGCTGGGTCACTCGGAATTGCCCTTCCAGGCTCCACCAAGCTCTCCCACACACCAACTTCACGATGCTCCCGATTTCCTCGCGTCAAAATGGCCGTCACGCTTGACGAGAAGAAGAACTTCACTCTCAAGAAATCTGAAGAGGCTTTCAATGCCGCCAAGGTACATTCCCCATCTTCCAAAATTTTCCCTTTTCCATTTGACCCTTCAGCGTCTTCCTTCGATTAAATTACATGAAAGCCTCTTTTCGTAATCAGTTTAGACAATAATCCACTGGGGTTTAGATATGTGTTAGGGGAATGAGAATTCAATTTGAATTCCGTGGTTCTTCTGGGGTATTGGGGTCTGCGATTCTGATTGATAGCGGCGGCTTGAGCAACCGAGGAGTTGGAATATTGGATCCGATTTTTGTCTGATTGTGTCAGTTTCTGACGCTGGATAGTGAAATTTGTTTTGAACGCTTGTGCGAATTGTACGCAGGAGCTAATGCCTGGTGGTGTGAACTCCCCTGTTCGTGCCTTCAAATCTGTTGGTGGGCAACCAATAATTATCGATTCTGTAAAGGGCTCCCACATGTGGGATATTGATGGTAATGAATACGTTGATTATGTGGGATCTTGGGGACCCGCGATTATTGGTCATGCAGACGATGAGGTACAATTCCACTTAGTTTTTCTCTACTTGTGTATTTCAGTTTCAGTCACTTGGGTCTTCTGCTTTGTGTCCAAATCTACTTCATGTTTATGAATCTAAGATTTCTTCTTCTTTTTCAATTTTTTGTACAAAGTTCTGAAATATCATTGCCTTTCCTAAGTTTGGTTAGTTGTGAGACCTCTATTATTATGATCATGTTGAATCTCTCTCTCTGTGAACAGAGTTAGTAAAAATGATTAATACTAAGTCCGCACTGTTTACTCCGAAATTTCCATAGCTGAAATTACCTTAGTTGGGCCCCTCGTAGTGAACATTGATGATCAGTTTGATGTTTGATTCCTATTTCTACTTGATATATATTTTTGGTTTTATGAGGAATACAATATGGACTTTCCTAATCTAATCGATCATGATGAATACTGTAATTCTCTTTCTATTCTATATTCATGTAGGAAACACATACTTTATTTCTAGCATCATGTTGGTTTTAGACTCATCTGACATGAACATGCTTAACATTTCAAAAGTTTTTTTCTTTAAAAAAATTGAACATGTTGGGACACTCAAAGAACATGTTAAGGTATGCTGAGACATGTTCGTTCAGTAAATGTTGGATGTATTAATTAGAAAACTGATGCGAAGATTCAAGTCTAATATCTATATAAAAAACGCAAAAGCTATCTCCAGGATAACAGGGAAGAGGAAAATAAAAATATGGAAAGATAGATCGAATGGCCATATAAATTAGACCCAATTTTCAGAAAACCACGAAAACGGCGGATTAAATTATCTATTGAAACGAGGCTGCTTACTTCTCTTTCTTCTATCTGTGGGATGTTTGACTACTTGCAAACACTGGATAATGCTGTATCTTCAGAAGAAGATAAGTTCTCTCTTGACATTTCATCATATAATTCACTCTGTCCAAACTCTAAGATGTACAAACGTAAATTTTCTTAACAATTAATGGATTTTTAAATTTTGTTTTAACTCAACATGTACGAGTGGAGATTTTAACTACCTTTTGATCAATGATATATGCCAGCTATGCTGAGGTTGGCTTATGGATGTATACTTGTGTTTGTGTCCTAACTTTTTTAAAAGGACATGTTGCAGTGTATATGTTGTGCTTGCGTTTGTCCCTGCTTCTGAGTAGATATTCATCACAATAATATTCTCATAGGTACTTGCAGCCCTAGCTGAAACAATGAAGAAAGGAACCAGCTTTGGCGCTCCGTGCCTTTTGGAAAATGTTTTAGCTGAGATGGTGATATCTGCTGTTCCAAGCATAGAAATGGTTCGGTTTGTTAACTCCGGTACAGAAGCATGTATGGGTGTGCTTCGTCTCGCCCGTGCTTTTACTGGCAAGGAGAAACTCATCAAATTTGAGGGATGCTACCATGGCCATGCCGATCCATTCCTTGTCAAGGCTGGTAGTGGAGTGGCGACTTTGGGCCTTCCCGACTCTCCCGGTGTTCCCAAAGCAGCTACCTCTGAAACTCTTACTGCCCCCTTCAATGACATCTCAGCTGTTGAATCTCTATTTAATGCCAACAAAGGAGAGATTGCTGCAATTATTCTTGAGCCTGTTGTTGGAAATGCTGGCTTCATTCCTCCAAAACCTGATTTCCTTAACGCCATACGCAAACTTACCAAGGAAAATGATGCTCTCCTCATCTTTGACGAGGTTATGACTGGATTTCGTCTTTCTTATGGTGGAGCTCAGGAGTATTTTGGAATAACACCTGACTTAACAACACTTGGAAAGATCATTGGTGGTGGTCTGCCCGTCGGTGCATATGGGGGACGAAGAGAGATAATGGAAATGGTGGCACCAGCAGGACCAATGTACCAGGCAGGTACCTTGAGCGGTAACCCATTGGCAATGACTGCAGGGATACACACGCTAAAGCGATTGAAAGAACCGGGAACATACGAATATCTGGACAAGATCACAAGTGAACTTGTTGACGGTTTGGTGGCTGCTGGAAAGAAGGCTGGGCATGCAATTTGTGGAGGCTACATAAATGGGATGTTTGGGTTTTTCTTCACTGATGGACCTGTTCACAACTTTGAAGATGCTAAAAAGAGTGACACTGCCAAATTTGGCAGGTTTTACAGAGCAATGTTGGAGGAAGGTGTATACTTTGCCCCTTCACAGTTTGAGGCAGGGTTTACCAGCTTGGCACATACTTCTGAAGATATTCAACAAACCATAGCAGCAGCTGAGAAGGTTTTCAGGCAAATATAGCTCCAATATCTATCTGTATTGCTTTTTCGAATCCCGTCTTCCTTACGAAAAGTTTTCCTGTAACATTATGGCCTATTCTGTAACTGAGAGTTTAGTGAGAACTTCCTCTAGGAGATCTGTATGTGAGTAAGTTGGTGGTTGTTTCTAGTGTAAGGTTTTTTCTCTTTAAGTTTGGCAGTAATCTCTGTGTGATACTTATTTTCTACTAGCAGCTAGCCTATTGAAGAGATCAAATTTAAGGCATCAATGCCAATTATTTACCAAATTGAGCAGAGCAAAATATGCATGGACCGAGAGCATAATGAATGGTAGCCGCGAAACTTGCTTGGTTAGAAAACAAAAAAGGATATAATATCGTGAGTTTGAATCTCCATCTCTTGTGTGATTTAAAAAGCGAATCAAAATTAAAGATAATTTAATTACTAGGTGTTTACAAGTAGTATTAGAACTTTCGCCACTTTTTTTGGTTATCTTGTTTGTAGTGGTTTATACCGTTTAATGTAGAAGAGATAAACTAAAAATTATAGTTTTACTGTGCATTCAAGAGTTGATAAGGGAGCAGCTGCGTTGAATAGTTTTCCTAACCGGTGAAATTAACTTTTACCCATCACCCCTTAATAATTTTTAAAAATAGAAAATGTTACAGAAGTAATTTTTCAAACAAGCCATAATTTCTAAAATTTTGTTTATTTCCAAATTTTGGTTAAAGACTTCAAGAGTACTTGAAAAAAGAAACGTATTAGAAAACAAACTATCAAAATATTATAAACAAACAACCTTATTTTGGGAAGACAAATATTTAAAAGACAAAATAAATTTTATTATCAAATGAAAAATCCACCAACTTGATCTGATGGAATCATTGTTGGTTCAGCTGTATGGATAAATTGAAATCATCTGGTTCTTTCCAAGTGCTTCTGATAAAAAAAACGTTTTGCAGGGCCAAATATCATACTGCACCCATACAGGGGCGAGGCGGAGGAAAGAGTGAGACAATTACCCCCTCTTGATTCGTTTTAGATTAAGAAAACTTCTACAAAAACGTTCGAGATTAGCCCATTTCTAAGAACTGTCTCTGGTCCTGTACTCATATTGTATCCATTCTCTTCTGGTATTGTATTTTTTACCACAATCTCAATCTTCTGTACTTCCCACAAGCACTTGAGTTATAACAGAGATCAATTCTAGACATGGAAAATAAACTATAAAACTGCATTTAAACGAAAGCGTTTAGAAAAAGCACTGAATAAATTCTTCTCTACAAGCATTTTCAAGTAGTTGCATATTGGGAATATTATGCATCTACATCCAAAATTCAAGTGTCATCAAGTATAAATGCTAATTATTTCAATGTTAGTTTGATTTTGATCTCACAATAAGCAACTCCCAGAACATGGAAAAAGGAATAAAGAATGACAAGCTCTTTCACCTTTATTCCCTCAAACCCATCAGTTCATCTAACAAACAGCTTCAGGGAAAAAAAAAAAAAAAAGCCTACTTAAAACCGAGTCGTCACGTCTGATACAGAAACAAAACCACCAACTGAGCATACATTATTCAGTCTCAACAATGGAAAAATGGGTTCTACATCATTATAAACATATAAATGAGAAAGCCTTAACTCACAAATTCGGTTTCGATTTGAGCAGTTACATAAATAGAACCAGCATCTTCCTACCATCTATGAGAATTCTATAGAAGAGATAGCTCACCGGAAGGAATTGATCTCTTAACGAGATTAGCCCAAGATTTGTTGGTCTCTTCAATAACTTTAAGTGCGTAATCCTGCACCAAGTATAGCATGTTACAACTTAAGCTCAAAGAAAATTTAAATCCAACAAAAATTTTCATAAGATTGGGGATAGCGAGGGGTTGTCAAATTTGGGCAGAAAGTTAAGCTAGATCCAATCCAAATACTGATTGATAAAGTCAAGGCAATAGTGAAAAATATCATGTATATTATACCAAAACATTAATAGAAAAATATGGCCCCTTTGAGCTTCAAACAAAAAAGTTGCAAAGGACTCAAGGACTGAAACTTAGGTAGTAGAGTTTGTATATTTACCTTGTTTGCAGGCATGTTACCAAGACCGAACCTGTTAGCAGGTTTGCCGTCAGGGATCTTGTAGTCTCTAAACCAGTCCCTTATAGCGGTTAAAGTTCCCTGCAATCAACACTCGGATTAGGTTAGTAAAACTTTTACTTCATTAGTACATAACAAAGGTAACAACGTATACCGGGAAATGCTTCTCGACATCATCAATATCATTCACTAGTGAAGCTTTAGGATCATCTAGTGAAATTGCAACTATTTTCCAGTCAAGTTCCCCTTCATCAATCATAGCTAGAGCAGCCAGTGGTTTCACTTTCAGAATCTCGCCAATCTTTCGATCACTTTCACCAATTTCAACAACATCAACTACAAGATAAATAAATAGATTAAAAAAAGAAAATAAAAAATCACAGGGTTTATAACTTTTAACGTTCTATTCATTTGGAAAAGGAAAAATTAAACAACCTAACAAGAAAGTTCAAGGAAAACATCCTATTGTGCATACCAGGATCATTGTCTCCAAATGCGCCTTCAACTTCAGAGTTAGCCAAGGATGGATCTTCCCATGTTTGTGGAAGCAATCCGTAATTCCAGTTGATATTGTAGCTGAGAAACATGCAGTTTGGTGGTTAAGTAGTAAAATAGACATTATTAGAGTGTAATAATGTCAAAACGCAAGAGCCTCTGCCTAATTATTTAGAAGAAAGAAAGATTTAAAAAAAGTATTAAGAGTACTTATATTTACAACTGCTTAAAATGGAGATTCAGCACATCCATCCTAAGCTTCAAATTCTTTTAAAAAATCTATAAAGGGAGGTCCAAATGAACATTTCCACAACACTCGAAATTGAAACACAACTTTTTTAGATTCTTTCAAAATAATATTAAAAAATAAAGTGAAACGTGCTGCAATACTATGATTTATAAACACTGACATTGTCAAAATAAAATTCCAATGAGAAAAAATGGCAATGGCACTAAATGCTTTCCACATCCATTCGTTTAAATGGTAAAAGTGTTCGTTCAAACAGGATTTCTTCAAGCACATCCATATGATTTGGCACTTTGCCAACAGTTAAAGTTGTGACGACATGGCTAAACAAACTTAGTACCCTCTACAGATGCAACAATAATATGTACAGAGCTAAGCAACAAAGGCGTTATATCTTACGGGTAGTATCGGAGCTTCCCCTTTTTAGTATCTTGCTTTATAGGAGTGAAAGGCTCATCTGTTGCAACCTCCATCTTTGCACTGGTTTCTTTAGGAATTTCAACAATGAAGTTGAAAACACCGTCCCCCAAATGCAGTGGTATATCATGCCAAGGGGAGACCTACGTCATAAGAAGCGCTTCTTTTAAGACATGACAAAACGAAATGTAAAAAGTTCAGAATTATTGTTAGTTGGACCACATCTGTCATCATTTACTCATTAAACCTAATAGCCAAGGAGAATTAAAAATAATATAAGAAATCTGGGACGATGGTTCAGACAAGTTTTCTAACAACAAAAAGTTGTAGGAACAAGCAATCGTCCCTTGAGAATAGCCTAGTATTAAAATTTATAAAAGGAAAAAAAAAAAAAAGAAACTTGCATGTGGTAAGTTCCTTACACCACTTAAAACCTCAAGTACTGTAAGTAAACAGTGAATCGCACACAACGAATAAAATGCATGGATGGGACATAAAACTACCTTCACCACCCTCCTCCCTTTAACACTCTGAAACTGGTGTCATCAATTCCTAACAAGAATGGACATAGACTCTGCATACAGATACACTGATATGCAATTGATTGAAATAATTTGGACATAAATATGAAGAAAACGTAGAATATGGTCTTTTATAAGACATTAAAAAGTTTATTCGAATGAAATTTGTAGGCGGTATTCAAATATTCAATTTTATAAGAATTGAAAAACAAAAACGACATATCTGACAAAACAACAACAAAGTTGGTAAACATAATACTACACACACATTTCTGAATGTGATTAATATCTTAAACTAAAAAGTTATAAAGAAAAACAAATCCCAAATAACGACACTTATATTAGCACTTCTTTGAGGAAACCGTTGTGTTGGAGGATATCAAGTGAATACCAATACACAGGGAATAACAGAGTGTCCATAGTCCATGATCTACACCCTCGCATTCAATCAGAACTCACGAAATTCCAAAGATCCCTCAACAAGAAAATTCCAAATGGTTCTCCAATTCGTTAATTGTAATCAAACCCATTGAACCCTAAAGCTCTAGAGGCGCATACAATACTTCAAATTTACCAAAATAACAATAGACAAGTAATGGAATCAAAATAATGGGGAAAAAAGGCAATGGAAACTAATCGACACCTTTTTGCCAGACTGGTCAGTGAAGAAGACGCGATAGTCGAGGGTTTCAGGCTGGCCTTCATGCTTGATCGTAACCTCGGGGAGATACAGAGCTGTGCAAGAGAATGATTTTCTGGAGGAGGGTAATCTTGTGGAGAAGAAAAGGGAATTGGAACGATGATATGGGAGGCTGTGTTTGGGGAAAAGGGAGGTTTTTGAGAGGAAACAGGAAGCAGTGGTGGTGGTGGTGGCATTGGCTAAGACTCTCGCGGCCGCCATGGCTGAGAAAGAGAGAAAAATGTGCAAGAATGGGACTGTTTGGACCAGTGTGGACTGTGGAGAAGGAGAGAGAGTGAAACCACACAACAAAATGGACTGGATAGGCTGCAGGAGAGGGAGAGAGGAGGAGAAAAATAGAGTCTTTGTGGCCGTTTGATTCATCTAATTTCCATCTCTAAAATGGAAAATACTTAGGTCCTAACCGGTAAAGACGGGTATGGAAAAATTTGTGGTACTATGATAGTACGAAAATTTTTCGTATGGCCTCCGTTTATTATTTTCATAACGTATATTTTGCTCATAATGAGTTGTCAATTTTTGAAGAGTGGTCAGCATAGAGATAGGTCTTTAAGGGTGAGAATCTAAGTATGTTTTATTGGTAAGTATTTTCCTTTCGAGAATCACAAGTTTCAACTTTCAATTTGATCGTCTTTTAGTATAATAATGTGTGGGGTTAACCAACATAGGTGGCTCACTAGTCAAAAGAAGTCGAGGTTAGGTTAAATTGAGAAGGGATGAGTTCAAACCTCATGATGATCACCTATCTAAAAAAAATTATAGTGTAAAGGTAGTTTGTAGGTTGTGAAATATGTAAGGAGTTTTAATTAATTTATGGAAGGTAATTGATCAAGTTGGTAACTGCCAGGTGTTTTTTGCAATTTTCCTTAATAATAAATATAGAATATGTGTTACATGAGATTTTTAATATATATATATCGATTTTTTCTTTTTAACTTTCAATCTCATCAAATTGGATCTTAAACTTTGGTAAGTATTAGATCGTTGTCTTAAACTTAATAAGTGTTTTTTAAGAACATTTTATACCTTAATCTTTGTCAAAATTAGTGGGTTAATATATTGTATGTTTACCATCACAACAATTATCTAATCCGAAGGTCTAATTTTATCGAATTGAAACTTTATAGTGAAAATTGATACACATTACTAATTTCGAAGATAAAAATTCACATTATTTTTCAAAATTTTATTCAAAGTGTTCCAATATCTAAATTAAAAAAAAATTAGAATGTTCAATTTACGGTGCTTACGTGTTTATTGAAGCAATTCTAACAACTAAGTGAAGAAGTTATAGTGACAAGATGAATGACGAGTTAAATTAGAGGAAAAGAATAGACAAAACTCATTTGAGATTAAATTATCTCTTAATCATTGGAATGAATCTTATCTTTATGTTTTTTTTTCCTAGTTCAACAAAGTATCGAGTTGAAAATTTGAATCTCTAACCTTTTAGTTATATATTTTGACTAATTAAATTATGTTTGAGTTGTTTATGTTGGGTAAATATACGCTGTATATATGAACTGTGTAATATTGACAAACAGATTACAACGTAACTGGCTACAAACGATATAAATTTGAACAACTTGATGAACACCAAAACTTGATAAAAAATATTCGAGTCACGCTTCAATAGCGCTGACCTGAAGACAATCATTCACTCTGCACAAGTTGCTAGCAGACTACAGCGATCGTCTCAGCAGGATACAACGACTAACTCCGGTAGAACTGCAACCTCGAACTACTCGGATCTGGCAGAACTCTTAGATACTTGCTCTCAACATAAACAAGAAGAACAACTCAAAAGAAGAGAGAATTCTTGTGGGAGGAGGAGAATACCCAATTGTGGTATGCTTGGATATGTCAAAATGAAGAAAATCACAACTATATATAGTTGTTTAAACATGAAACTTCTCACACAAGAATTAAGTTCAACTTTAACAACATGAAGAAAAACTTCTCATTTGAAGTATAAACTCGATGTGAAATTTCACAAGGCCTGGGCTCCCATATGGTTGTATCTCATCAAAGAAGATAAGGAGCTGCTTGTCTGGGGGGAATACACATTAGAAGAAATAATAGAAATTGTAGACACTAGGAAAAAGCGCAAGAAGTCTCAGAAGAGTCAGCCAGAGCAAGTCATAGACATAGACCTTATTTCACGCCTATAGACGAAATCGAAAAATAAATAAGTAGAGGATGGGGATTTACAGAAAAATTTCCATTCTTATTTGAGTACCTAGGGAGGGAAAGATCCTGAGCGTAGAACAAGAAAAGTCAGAAATCTTAGTTATATTGGCAGGCACATACTGGAAAAAATCTTTCTTTGTTTGGTCAGTACATCAGCGAAGCGCTTCCCGTCTGCTTCAAAAAGATAGTTGGTTGAATGAAACGGAAACCTTCTTTCTTCGATCGGAATACGGATGAGATCAAAAAGGTCAGTTGCTTACTTGCGAAGAAGGGGGCAAAGGATGCAATAGCTTCGGTTAGAGCAAAGCCCAAAATGGCATAACCAAATGATTGTTTAGCCAATGAAATTCGTTTTCCTTTTTTTAGGATATGTAAAATAAGAATTCTTTTGTTTACTCAATTATAAAATAAAAAATGGTACTTTTTTTCTTGTTCAAAGAATAAAAATAAATACAAGGGTTGACCTTTCTTTTTCATATCTTTGTTTTATCATTTTCGGGATGGGGAAAATAAGAATCCCCATCRCCCCAATAAAAAAAAAAGTTTTTAACCATGTGTAACTTTAACAGAATAAAGTTACATAACACAAAATTGAAACAAAAACAACTTCATGAAATAAATAATGAAATTATTACAAATGTAAAATAAGTTTCAAATTCTTAATATACAAATTTAATATCCGGATGTTAAATTTGTATACTCAACGATTTTCTCAATATCTTCAAGTTTCACTTTGTTCCAGTATTAAAAGTCCTAACAGTTTATATGCTTTTATTTTCAAATATTTGTATGCTTACCTCTGGTTTAGAGTAAGTGGGAATCTTGCCCTTAATTGGATGATTAAAAAGACACAACAAGATTGGGAAGATTCTATGATTGGACATATTTTGGTTTAAAATTAAAAGTTGAGGAATGGAGGCATATTTTATCATAATATTTCAAAGTTAAATTAAATATCATTTTAGTTCAAATCATTGAAAATATAAATACCATTTTAATCCTTATAATTTTAATTTATTTTAATATAATCTCCTAATTTTAAAAGTTCCCTTATGCTTCCAATAGTTTGATTAACTATTCTTCCACCTGTTATTAGAAGTGAAAAAGAGGCGATTAGCAATTATTGAATATAAAATATGTGTGAAGGTTAAGTTAGTTGTCAGTTGCATTGAGAAGTTTTGTAAAAGAAATTAAATAAAATAGATGATTGACAAGTAATTAGTATAAGGTATGCGTAAATATTAAATTAGTTGGTTATATATGAGAAGTCTAGTAAAAGGAAAAAGAAAAGGAAATAAAGAAAATCTAGTTGATTTTTTCGAGTATAACATGTGTGGGTATATGTTAATTACCACTGAATTATGCTCGTTTTTGTGATATATGTTAAGTATTATTAGTTTTAGTCAAATGTTAACTTGGTACATTTGACCAACTACTGATTATCTAGCATAATATGATAAGAAGTGGCGTGAGAAAGCAAGTAAAAAAAATGCATAAATGGGTATTTCACTCATTAGTCTATCAAATATCTTTTGACATGTCCGTCATTGTTTTATTTGGTTAGCCTAATTTTCTATGTGCTGCGTTGTCACATCCTCCTAATTCATTACTTAACAATATTACAACTAACCAATGACGTCAACGTTTTTGAGAAATTGAAATAAATACATCTTTCAACATTCAAGTATTACATTTATTATTATACTTTTCTTTTCATCTAACTCTTGAAAAATATATTAAAAGCCAACATGAAAATAGTTTAGTCATGGAATATATCTACTCATATATTTTCTTGAACTTGGAAGTATACATTTTGACACCTTACATTCCTTCGTTATACTAAAAGAAAAAAGAATCTAAAAATACGACCATAAATTTTAAGGATCATTCTTGCAAAGATAATCAAACAAATCAAATTAATTGCAAATTTAGCAACAACATTATGTATTTAAGAATATAGTAACACGAAACCTAGCCTAATTCTAGGCACGAAAAAGACTAAAATAGTACTGAAATGTCTATCTATTAGTAATGGACTACATCCGTGGAAGTATCAATATAGACTATATAACTGACAGATGCAAAATGAGAAAAATAGACACACCAAAATATTTTAATCGATATATTTACAAAATTGCAACCTTATTACTCAAATATGGTAGTGAATGACTTAATACTGTCAACTTGTTTAACTCAATTGGTTAAAATCGTACGCCAATCTGAACATAGATGAATTGGCGACATCAACCTTTTACCATGAAGTCGTGAATTTGAATATAAATGAGTTGAAATCATCTATCTTCAATCCGATAAAAAAGTGAATTCTTAAAATAAAACAAAATATTTTTTTGTTTTATTATTATTATTATTATTATTTTGAGAGAGAGGGCTTAAAGTGAAAGAAGCTTCTTCTCAAGCTCAACTGAACAGAAAGAAAGAAAGCTAATACTGATACCACTTTCGTCCTCCTTCAATCTCATGTTCATATGCCAATTCCCTAACAATTCCACCCCCAAATTCTCCCAAATCCTAATTCCATTCCCATGGCTTCGTCTGAGATTGAGGTCGTAGCGTCACCCGACTCCCAATCTCAGACAAACCCTGAAGTTGCCATAGTAGACGTCTACTCGGCTTCTGCTTATGGCGACTTCCAAAAACTCAGGAGTTTTGTTGAAGAACATGGAGCTTCTCTTACAGTTCCCGATTCCAACGGCTACTATGCTCTGCAGTGGGCTGCTCTAAACAACTTCGCCGATATCGTCCAGTATATCATTGAGGTTTTCTGAATTCTTTCTGACCGCTTTGAACTGACTGAAATTATACTATGCGTTGCTTGATTGAACAATATTCTATCTGTTTAGAATGTTGGTAGTAGTATGATTTTATCACTATTACATTGGGTTCTTCGAATTTTACATAGCTGGCGTTTCATGATTAATGAGTCTTTCCGAGTGAGAGAAGTTCAGTATCTTCGAAACCCGGATAAAGGAATATGAATAAAATCTATTTGATTTGAAGAAAATGCATATGTTGGATTTTTGTAGCGAATTTGGTTGGTAGCATTATGACATTTTTGATGTAGTTATGAAGTTCAATTGTTCGGTTCTCTACTTAGTTTCGTTGATTGTTTCTGACAGCATGGGGCAGATGTCAATGCCTCTGACAAATTGCAGCAGACGGCGCTTCACTGGGCAGCAGTTCGGGGTGCAATAATGGCTGCTGATGTGCTCCTGCTGAATGGAGCTCGAGTGGAGGCAACTGATATAAATGGGTATCGGGTAACTTTGAGTTATTAGCAAGTTTTGATTTGGCCAGATATTGATGATACGATGAAACATGTCACAGATATAATATTTGTCATTTGGTAGTTAGTTATGAACCTTTCCTTAATTTTGATGATTTTTACACAGAGCTGATGTATTGCTGTTTCCAGAATTATGTAATTAAAATTTTAATGTAGGGGATTTTCACTTTTCAAATCGAGTGATGTACATGTTAATGGTAGTGGTAATGACTAATGTGGGGAGCCGCGAAATATCATGAATTCTGTATTAAAAACTGTAGAACTTTATCTTATCATCTCACCATTTATTTGTTTAGCTAAACACCATAAATTATTTCAAACTTTAATTGCTTTCTCAAATTGAGTTCAACTTGCTGATGCACAAATGTGGATGGTTACTATTAATTTGTAGCATGTTTGGGATGTGCTTGCAAAGAAATTTTAGCCTGCCATGATATTCTTCTTAAGGAAAGTTTGGTGTCTCATAATATACATACACACACTAATATATAAAATGTTATGAGATCTGGAAGAACAAAAATGCAAGGTCCATTTTTGATATCTTAATGTATCATATTTCATAAAGTTGCCACACACCTTTCAACTCAAAACAGTTTGGCATGAAATGCAGGCAGTTCATGTTGCTGCTCAATATGGACAAACTGCATTCTTAAATCACATCGTTGCCAAATTCCATGCTGACTTTGACGTTCCAGATAATGAAGGGAGGAGTCCTCTTCATTGGTATGCCCAAGGGCTTTTAATTTAGACAGAAAATGCTGTGTATATTGTTTTAAGCATCAGAACTAAGACAATCAAGTTTGGAGATCGTTAAAATCCCTCTCCCACCTCTTTTTTGGTTTTTCTGAACTGCCCACACATGTAGTTATTAAAAATGTGATGATCAAAATAAGTATTGTAGATTTTTGTAATGAGATGTCAAATAAGCCCTGTTGATAGGTTAGAAAGAACATATTTTTTTGGCATGGTTTTTCAACTCCTCTAATGGAAATTAATCAACCTTTGAAGGCATACAAGGCAATTGCCGTAACTATGTGTTACCATAAATCCATGCACGTCAAAATTGGAAAGCTTGGTCGATCCAATTACCATATTATAATATTTCTATTTAGCATAAATGCAAAATCTTCCTACTATTTGTTTGTCAATTATGATCTGTCAAAGATAATTATTTATCTTTGTAATTTAACATCATATGAGGAGTTTGTTGGACTTGTTTTTTGTATGTCCCTTGTATATTCTTTCAATTTTTCTCAATGAAAGCATGGTTCTAAGATCAATATAGGCTTGTCACAGTATATAAGGGATAATTAAATGAAACATCTGGAAACTGAGGAAGATTTATCTTTGTAATTGAGTCAGAAAAGATTTGCTATAAGTTCATTTAACATCGTATGAGGATTTTTGAGCTCTCAAATATTGATATTTATAGAATTATCCATCTTAAAACAGACTTGGCTGTTTTAAGATTTCAAAAGCCCTTGGCTGTTTCAAATAATTAATTGCTTCACATTCAGCCTTGGCCTTGGCCTTTTCTTTTCTGACCATTCACATTACGGAAAAACTTCTTTGTTCTCTTGTTCACCAAAACAGATTGATGAAGTAAAGGGTGTGCATAATTATATCTTCTCTTTATCAATATTTTATTGTGGTCCTCTTCCATAGGGCAATTATAAATATACATTTTAGCTTCTCATGGTTCTTTTGTTTTTCCACCTTTCATTTAAAAGATATTTATAAGCTTTAGAATGAAAGTTCATTCATGGTTTCAATCAGGGCTGCATACAAGGGATTTGCAGATACAATTAGACTACTTTTATTCAGAGATGCAAGCCAAGAAAGACAAGATAAAGAAGGTATACTACATAGGCATTTCTGCATTCAAACCACCGTGTTATTCTTTGGTCTCTAATTTTTAAATTTTACTAGTGTCATTTCTAGTATGAACATCTTCTAGGTTCGGAAGAGAAGAAATATGCCTTCTCACTTTCTAAAGTCTGGGCGAGTCTTGTGATAGTGATGGCTATCTTTTGTATATTCTACATTTGACATGTTGAAATAAAAGGGGAAGAAGAGTTCATCATGTGCATTTTTGTAACTTAGTATGTGTTCATAGTGCACTATATACTATGTATACTTTATTTTTAGCGCTTCCCCATGTGCTTTGTGATTGATTTCTTCATAATGGTAAAGTTGCCAGTTTGCACCCTTCTTTCTTTATTAAGCTTCAAAGAAGTGATAAAATTTTCCGAAGCTGCATTTTAAGTAAAATATAAGCTTCGACTGAATAAGAAAAATTTCTATGAGTTCAAATGCTGAGAAACAAAGACAATACAATGATTGATTTTGCTCAGGACAGGTTATTGCACTTATAATCATAGTCTAATCACCACATCAGATTGTTCAATTTATGGTAGAGGACATGCTAACTATTAAAATTAGTGTAATTGCCTATATCTTGGTTTCATCTGATTATAACGCCCTAGGTTTCATTAACTTTTTTCCATGCTTTGCAATAAGGTTGTGCACCATTGCATTGGGCTGCAATAAGAGGAAACGTGGAGGCATGCACTGTGCTTGTGCATGCAGGATCAAAGCAAGAACTTCTGATCAAAGATAATGCAGGCTGTACGCCTTTTCAGCTTGCATCTGATAAAGGTCATCAGCAAATTGCTCATTTCCTTGTATGTTACGATACAATCATGTGGCCCTTGCTTTTGATAACAAAGTTTTTACTGTCTTGTTTAGATCTTTTCCAAGCTAATATGGTGTTGGTTGTTTTGATCTTTCATAGTCTAAAGCACTACGGTCACATCAGAGCCACTGGGGAAGAAAATTTTGTTGTTGGAAGATGGAAAATTTTGGTTATGCTCCTATTTTACTATGCATCATCATCATTCTCGTGATCCTTTTCGTCAATTCAGTTCTTGCAGGTGCTTCACCAAGTTTTCCCATTTAAAATGATTATTTTACTTGGAAATCATGGCTGACTTATTATTGACTGTAGGCTCTAATCTTGCAAAGGTTACAGCTGTTGTTGGACTTTGGGCGTGGGCTGCCCTCTGTTTGGCATTTGTTTCTCTGATAATGTTTTATAGGTGTAGTAGGTAATTCTCTAACCTCTCGCACGCATACTCATTCTTTATCCATGTGGTTTCTTGTTTGATTTGTTCTCTAGAGGGTTTATATGAATGATTCTTAGTATCTTTCCCTGTTTGACTTGTTATGAAACTAAGTTAAATCCAGATGGTTAAAAAAAATTTGATTGCAATTATGAGACAATAAACAGAATAATGAAAACATGAGGTTTATCGATCAAAATTTTTTAACAGTCTCTCTTTAGCAAAATAATCCCTTTTTGCTTGATTTCATGTTAGGGTAATTGGTTTCACTCATAGGCATGCCTTAGATGCCACCCCAAAAACTAAAAACAAAGAAAAGAACTTATTGTTTAATTTTAATGTAAAATATTTTGTTTCTTTTCTCCCTTCTTTTTGTGATAGTTCTATATACAATTTTGATTTTATTTAGTAAAACATTCATAAGAAATCAGATGTGATAATTTGGGTTGTACGTGATGTAATTCTAAAAATTCAAAACTTGCATATTTTGAGGAGCTAGGTACAGTTCAATAAATATAAGAAATTGTTAAGTCGATTTGTGAATTTTATATTTCATGATTACTTTCATGAAATGGCTTATAATGATGGAAATTAAGAAATATATTTGATTGATAGAAAGTTTTTGTTCAATAGTAAATTTCCTCGCCCCACTCCATATATTATAGTCAAGGACACACCTGTTAATATACCTGCTTTATTTAGAATGTACGATAAACCTGGGGGTTAAGAATCTTTTGTTCACTCCTTGCATTTTATTAAACCCTCGAGAGGTTAATGGAACACTCTCTGAAGTGATTTATGTTAAATCTTATGAGCTAAGACAACTGAGTTGGTTGTTTCTTTTTTGCTTTATATGTTTACCCCACCATAACAATTTTTGGAGTCAGATCGGCAATGATAGCAATTTGTAATCTCCTTGGTTCATAGTGAGGATAGGATTTATGTTAAATCTTATGAGTTAAGACAACTGAGTTGGTTGTTTCTTTTTTGCTTTATATGTTTACCCCACCATAACAATTTTTCAAGTCAGATCGGCAATGATAGCAATTTGTAATCTCCTTGGTTCATAGTGAGGATAGGATATCCTATTCTTCCTCCCTTTTTGTAATCTTGAATCTTGATTAATGAAATTGTCTCTCATCTTAAAAACAACATCATGATGATTTTCACTGTTGTGTGCAGCAAAGATCCTGGTTACATCAAAAGACCCGGAGAGTTGGGTAATCATACCAATACAGAGGTATTAAGGAGTTTTAGTGTTTTGATTTTTAATTTCAAATTCCAATCTCTAATCCTGTTTTAACGTGTTTTAAATAAGAGGCTCGTTTGAGAGCCAAATCATGATATTTGTTGCCTGGAATTTGTAATCTAAATTTCTCTTGAATATATGTTTGAGAGAGAAATTGCAAGGATGACTTATTAATGAATCGATGGAATGTAAGGCTTGGGGTTCCTCTTCGCGGGCGGTTCTTGTTTGTCTGGTTTTTGTATGCCTTTTTATATTCTTCCGATTGGTGAAAGCTTGATTTCTTATATATATTTAAAAAAAAAAGGAAAAAGGAAATTTATATTTTTACTATAATTTTTTTTTCATAAATAAATATTTTTCATTTTGCAGGATCCTTTGTTGAGCATTGATCTCAACAATTCTTCCGTCTGGGTGGGGAACTGGTCTCAACTATGCCCCACTTGCAAGGTTTATTTCATAAACCATTTTATATAAAATGAGTGTAAAGAGCATAATGTTTGTGGTGTAATTGATGAACACATTTTCTCAGGTGATCTAAGTTTACGTTATTACGTTTCTTTCAGATAATTAGACCTGTCCGTTCTAAGCACTGTCCTACTTGTAATCGATGTGTTGAACAGTTTGACCATCACTGCCCGTGGATATCTAACTGCGTGGGGAAGGTGAGAAGTTGTGCTTATTCTTAATTTTGATCTCAAATGTGGTAATTATTTGTGGATCTTATTCTTAAAATAATACAAACAACTACATGAATGGAAGAAAGGTGTTATGCGAGCTGTTGCAGTTATTGTAGAATAGATGATCTACGTAACACATCTTGACTAGTTCCATGCCATTCTTGTCCTTAGGATACTCTTGGAGCTTTTCTCCCTCTTGTTCATATTTTAGTTCCATTTGTCTGTATAAGTTACCCCATCTGATTATCTGATAACTTTGTTCCGTTAATTTCTTCTGACTCTCTTGCAGAGGAATAAACGGGATTTTTTTGTTTTCATCTGCTTGGGAACTTTGACATCATTCCTTGCTGGCTGCATTGCCGTACAAAGTATGTCCTTCCAGACAAGTGAATGATACAAGTTTGTTTCATTTCAGACTTCACATTTCTTCTTTTGAAATTAGTATGAGCTCTCTCTTCTATTGCAGGAATTTGGACAATGCCTTCAGCATTGCAAACGGGAGAAACTTGGTTTCATCATGTGGTAGTTCATTATCCTGGCGTCATTACATTTCTTTTTCTGGATGCCGTGATATTGATTGCAGCCACAACTTTGACCATAGCTCAGGCATCTCAGGTAATTGTCAAAACCATACTGTAGCTCAATATTCCATGACAAAATGTATTTTCCTTCAGCAGTGCCATCAGTTTCTAGCATCTTCTTGAACTTCAATATGCATATATATCCAAGGATATAAATTGACCTCTTGTTCCCTTTATTTAATTTGTTGGGACGGTGATGACTTTTTTACTCTCTTAATGCTCGTGCATTTGGTAGCTTTCAACCTGCTGGATTGAAATTTGATGGGATCTATAGACTAGTTTCTTAACCTGTTTATCTTTCATATATGTCACCATCTGGAGGATTGAAATAAGGGTTGCATCAAAAAACCTTGCATGTATTTTTAGGAGATAAGAATGAATTGGAAACCTAGTTACATTATTTGAATTGTTAATACTGCCATACATTGAACTGCCTTTCATCTGGGTAAACTCTGTGAACCTTGTGGTATAGCCTTGTGCCCTAATGGTTTTGCCATGTAATTAGCAACTGTTAAGCATTGCTGCTGATTGCCTCAAGGGGCTGAGGATTCCTTAATCCTTACAACAGTTGTATCATCATTGCTTTCTTTGTGGTTCAGATATATTTTCCTTGTCCCAAGGATATTTAATATTAGGTAATATGCCTCTGAATTTCAATTTGAAATTGAGCTCTACTGGGAATAATCATACATGCCACCAATTAGTATATTAGCAGAAAGAGGGAACACTTGATATGGATTGACTTTCATATTTTGCAAATATTGACAAACACTTGAGCCATTTGATAACAATTTTGTTTTTGATTTTCTGGTTTTAAAAATCAGGCTTATTTACCAACATTTTTCTTTGTTCTTTTCTTTCTTTTGTAATTTAGCTTGAAAAGCTTTTTTGATATCTTAGCACAATTTTGAAAATTTTTTCAAAATAAGTTTTCAATAATATGTTTTTCACCTAGAATATTTGGCTAAGAATTAAAAAATGTTCTAAAAGTGAAAAACTACAGAAAAAGGAAGATATAAATATAAGTTTAACTTTAATAAACAGAAACTGAAAAACAAAATCTATATCAAATGGGTTCTAATTACCTTGACCATATCAAAATTCTTGCAAGTGATGCACCTGCCTATCTCATTTGTAAATAGTTGTTGCTCAAAAACTAATATTCCTTGATGCAGATAGCTCGAAATATCACCACTAATGAACTGGCAAATGCCATTCGCTACGGATATCTCCGTGGCCCAGACGGGAAGTTTCGTAATCCATATAATCATGGATGCCGAAAAAATTGCTCTGATTTCCTCATCCAAGGCCATGCAGACGACGAGATTGCTTGGCCTCCATTACAGCATGCTGCCAGTTAGACCGATAACCATTGCACAGTTTCACATAAATCAGTTGTATGCCTGGGCGGGCTTGGCATCTCAAACTCTCCTGCCACTGGCTGTCGGTCGACAATATTGCTCGGTATCCTACTACTGTTGTTCATTGTTGTCACATACATCTATAAGTGTCTGTTTATTATTTTGAAACCCTGAATTAGAATGTTCATACTGTCTAACCGATTGCAATGTACAAACAAGAATGTAAGCCAGGAAATAGGATAGAAATGAAATGAAAAGCTCACAGATAGATAATATTTGAAGTTTCATTACCAAATAATATGAATGTACAACATGAACAGACTAGGAGGATCTTGTAAAATTCATTTGCTATTAGTTCTCATCTCATGAAACTTGGAAGCACTGATTTGATTTCACACTAGAGAATTGAAGATCTTATGTTGTTTCTGTACTCTTGTGGCTTTATCTTTGTAAGCTCTCTGAACTTTTTTTTGTAGTTCTGGGTTATCTGTTCCATGTGCTATTTTTTAGATGGTTTTTATTTTTATTTAACTTCTTTTAGCTTAGCTTTGATGAGAGTTTCCTTCCTTTCGCCTTTTGTATACTTCAGGCCTTCAGTGAAAATGATCTTTTATTTTTTCCGTTATGATTGTTCTATGGGCACATGAATTTGAGTCTCTATCTATGACCCCTTTGATATTTGTACCCTAAATATATTAAGAAATATTTTGAATGATAAACTTCAAAGACGTGTTACCACTAACCTTTTCGTTTCTTGTTTTCTACTTTTAATAAATAGAAACAAAACTTGGCCCTAAGGGGCAACCCAATTGGCAAAAGCTTGAGGTCTCTCACAATCATATTGGCTTAGAAGCTTCAAATTTGAGCCTTCTAGTGAACTTATTACAAAATCTCTTGATGTCTCCCAGGTCTAGGGTTGGATGTGGGTGTCCTTGGATATAAGGGAGCAAAGCTTCGACTCCTGGTTATCGAAAAAAAAAACGAAACCCAATTGTCTTTTGTTTCTTTTTTTTTTTAATTGAAAAAAGAAATAGAAACATGTTTGATAATCTCGTTTTCTAATATTTTAAATTAATAAATTTAATTTTGGGTAAATTACACTTTTAGTCCATGAGTTTGAGGTTATGTTTCTATTTAGTCCGTAAATTTTAAAAAGTGATAGTTTGGTCCAACCTTTAAAAAATAGTTCTAAAAGATCACTAGAGTTTAATGATACTAACAGAATGTTGACGTGACATTGATGAATAGATTATTAGACAATATTTATTATTTTGACTTTAGATCGCAATTGTTCCCATTCTCTCTCTTCTTTCTCTCCCTTCCCCCCTCCTCCCCCCTTCTCAACGGCTACATTTCTTCTCAAAATCTCATAGTTCAAAGATCTTCTAAAGATTCAACTTCGAATCCAGGACCAAATTAGACTCTCTCCCTCTCCTCATAACTACTCAACGAAAAGGATCACAGCCTTTTAACTACGAATAAGAAATCTTTAATACAAATCCACAATAAATAAATAAATAACAAAGATTAATGTACAATTTTAGAAATGGCGGGTCTTCAGGGTCCAAAATTTGAGTTTTTGGAAACAAATTAAGAGATCTCGAGAAGAAAGGGAGAGAAAGAAGATTGAGAATGAGAAACGAAGAAAGGGAGAGAAAGAAGATTGAGAATGAGAAACAATTGTCATGTAAAGTAAAAATAATAAATATTGTCTAATCATCTAAAAATTGTCTAACTCATCAATGTCACGTCTCCAATGACCTTTTGGAACTATTTTTGACCCTTTGGAACTATTTTTGGCCGAAAGTGTGTTTTACCATTTAACTTTTTATATAAAAATTACTTTTTTAATTAAATATTCAAAATTTTTAATATTTATTATACAATAATGCTTTTATTTATATTAAATGAAAAATGAGAATCAGAGATAAGAAGTTTAATTTTGTTGTTTATAAAATTTTTACACAATTTTGAAACGTTTTTTAAAAAATGAATGGAGAAGTTGAAACAGTTATCAAATGCATAGTTCCTGACAAATGAATCTTGTTACTATTATCTTGAGATTACTCTCTATATTCTAATGATTAATTCTAAACTTGGATGTTTTCTTTTTACCATAATTTTCACAGGTCAACAATATGACGTGGGAAATATTCATATAGTATTGAGCTAATTTGTGGAATTTTAGCTAATATTCATGTAATTTTGAAAGCCTATATGAATGGTATAATATAGTTATTTAAGCTATGCTGTTGGCGATGTATATTATATATATATCATCAACTTGAGCATGATATGAGAGGGATATTTCAGGTCAGTCAAAACTTAGAGCAGCGTACAACCTCGTTCATAGGATTTGTGAGTAATTTATTTTATGAAATAATTTTTAGATTTTTATTATTATAGAGTTTTCTAAGAAATTATATATTAGGTATGATTCAACATTTTTACGAAGTTGTATTCATTGAAGATTTAGAAATATTTTATGATTTTAGAGAAATATTTTGAAGCTCATTAAGTATTATTTAAAAAGAGAGCCCTAAGTAACGAGTTCGAGAAAATATAATCTTATGAAATATTTTAGAAAGAAGAATTTGATAAATAGTTTGAGAAATTTATGAAATGTTTTTAAAAAAAAAATTTAGAGAGAATTTCTGTTTTAGTAGAATATAAATGTAATTTTTCTTAATATATTTTATATTACATTTGAGATTGAGTTTGGGTAAAAAGAAGCTCTAACGTATTCGAAAATATAAAACTATTTTATGGTATTTATGTAAATACCTCTTTTAATATATGTATTACAAAAATTAAAATTTGGTGAATTACGAGGACTCCCACGAAAAATAATAGTTCCAGTAGGAGGATTGTTTGTAATTTTAATTTCTAACTTTTAAAATTTCAATTTTGTCAAATTAAACCTTTCCCTTGGGTTTAACTTCAACTATATTTATTCACTAATTTAATTAAAAATCAACATAAAACAACTTTTAAAACTCACCAATTTCGATGAAAATCAAACATCGCACTCGTATATGAACGAAGAATAGATCTCTCAAAACTCACAAATGTCAACAAAAATGTAGATTTAATATTATCTTTCTGAGTGTCATTCGTACGGTACATATGTTTTATAATTCATCGAACAACTTGAAAATATATTTTCGTGACGATTCTTCAGTTGGGCCGACCAAACTGACCAATCGACGTCGGTTTTTTAACTCCGCGAATTCCATTGCTTACCCATACCATCCCTCACCATTTGCGAGTCTTTTGACGAACTGACCTAAAAATTTTAAAAAGAAAATTTTTAGATTTTCTACTACAACCATGCAAAATTACGTTCACGGGCAACAAACCGATGAGAAACCAGAGGAAAATAAACTCTTTTTTCTGGTCAGAATCGTAATTTTGCTTGTTGGCTGACCTGACGCTTAGAAAAATGTAGTATTTTAGAAAATTAGGTCAAAGTCAAATTTCGATTTGGGCTCAAAATTTTGAACTTTTTCTTCAAAAATAAAAAAATCCCCACCATTTCTAGTTCCCTCTCTGTGCTATAATCAGTAGCCAGCAGAGAACAAGTAGATTCTGTGTCACTTCACATCACCCATCTGGCGGCAGTTGTGTTTTCTCCTTCTCTGGTACCATTTCATTTCTTTTGATTTCAATTTCTTTGTCTTACGGTTGATTTTATTGGGGTAGTCGCTGAATGCTAGTAATTTGTTTCAAAACCCTAGAATTGAACATAAAACCGCTTTGATTTGCATAAAAAATCATGGTGGCTATTGGCTTTTTCACATATCGGTTGACGGCTTCGAAGAAAATCGAATCCGGGAGTTTTTTGGTTAGGGGAACTCATTTTCTGTCCATAAACCCATAAAGGGGTCTTCTCTATTTGAATGATCTTCACTTAACGTTGGCTTCCTTTATAATGTCTAGAAATTTAGAAATAATGATTTGCTACTCAATTTGTTTGCCCCAAGAATCACAAAGGATAGGATTGTGCGCGCCGTGGCCGAGTTTACCGTACCTCCGGCCCCATGGCCATCTATCTTCATTGGAGCTAAGGGGACTGTCGGATTAGTTGTATTATGTTCATATAATGATTGGCAAAATGCAACTAAATCAGTGATGGACTGAAGATAATCCAATGCCAAGTTTATCTTTAAGATATGACTCCTTGCTGTCTCTCACTAATCTGCTTCCATTTTAAAGATGAAAATTAGAGTTCCGTTAACTAAATCTCTCTCCTTAAGAGAAGGTTCTGATGGAACCTTAGGATTAATCACATATTGTACCAAACGCTACCTAATTCTCTTGGAATTGCTGAGTGATTATCTGGGAACCATCTGCATACAGAACTATTGAAATCTGTTCATTCAAATTATGTTCTGCCAAACCTGATAGATTGTGTGATCTTCATCACGATATTATGCAGATTGTCCAAAAGGTTCCAGAGAGGGTTTTTGTTGTTTTGCTCATTTTGGGTTTCAAACGCACATTTTCACTCTTAGCTACTTTGCCTTCCTAGCTTGGATGTTGGATTTGACTTCTAACCACTCAATTTTTGTAGTCTTTTATTTTTGACACAATTTTTTTCTTGTAATACACATAGACACATGCTTATCTCTTATTCTCCATTTTTTCATGACAGGTCTAGCACATGTCCTCTTTCAGAACTGCACAAATTCACCTTGTGAGCTCTCATCGTGAGGTTTATGAACCCTGTGATGATTCATTTGCTTTGGTTGATGCACTTCTAGCTGACCGAGCTAACTTGTTAAACCATAATCCAACATTGTGCTTGGAAGTGGGCTGTGGTAGTGGCTATGTTATAACATCTCTTGCTCTTATGCTGGGAAAGGAAGCTTCTGGAACTCACTATATTGCTACAGATATCAATCCTCATGCATTGAGGGTCACCCAGGAGACTCTAGAAGCTCATGGGGTTCACGCAGAGTTGGTATCCACAGACATTGCATCTGGTATGGAGAAGCGACTGGCTGGAATTGTCGATGTGTTGGTTGTGAATCCACCCTATGTTCCAACACCTGAGGATGAAGTGGGTCGTGAAGGAATCGCCTCTGCTTGGGCGGGAGGGGAAAATGGCCGCAGTGTTATTGATAGGATATTGCCAGTTGCAGATGTTCTTTTGTCTGACAAAGGCTGGTTCTACATGGTTACTCTTACAGCAAACAATCCCTCTCAGATATGCCTTCAAATGAGAGAGAAGGGGTATGCTAGTAGGATTATTGTCCAGAGATCGACTGAAGAAGAGAGTCTTCATGTGATCAAGTTTTGGAAGGATGCTGATCTTCAAGTTGATGGAAAAGAATCAACTCATAGAACAGGTCCTGGTCGGGTTGTGGAGTCTCTAATTTCACAATTCCCTCGTCTCTCTTTCTGGAGAAACAGTAACAGCAACACTAACAGATGAATGGGTTATCGGCGTACGTTGCTAGGGTACCATAGCCCATTCTTCCTTGCTTAAATTTCTCTACATGTTTTCTATGTCTTGAAGACTTCAAAGAATGATTATATCTAATCAAACAAGTTCAACCTCTTAATTTTGCAAGCTTTGCAGCCAATAACTTTCACAACTTCCTTGTGTTTCCTACTTGCAATGGCTTGATCTGCTAATTAACATCCAATGTTTCGAAGCTGGAACACGTAGAGCTATATATGCTTTGTGTATATTATTAGTTTTTCATTGGCGGATTGAATGTATATGTTATTAGTTTTTCATTGGTAGATTGAAACTTGTATGGCGTATCGGCTAATTTTCGGTAGCATATCGACTGTTTCTCTCTTGCAGGACTTGAGGCTCATTCATCTACACATCCTCCATTGTTAAGGAGCAACAAGAAGTTGACAACGAGTCCAATCTTACAAATTTGTGCATTCACCAGGTGCATATAATTCGCCCTTTTTGTATATGCAAATATCTTTATTTGATCCTATAACTGCTTAAAGATCTGTCACAGTAGTCATTGCCTTAACTGTCACTTGATGATGCTTGAAACTTCAAAGTTCATAGGAAAATTTCCTTGTCGAGATATTGCTGAAAAACTATCGTCAATTGGACTGTTGCAGTTGCATAGTAACAATTTGTTGGAAGGTTTTTGTTGCGTTGATCTCAACTCAAACTAGTTCTCTATCCCATTTATAGAACGTTTAACGTTGAAGATTATTCTATTTTGGTCCCTGAACTTGAAATAAAAAAATGTCAATTTTAGTTATAAACTTAAAATAATAACCATTTTCGACCTTATGTTTATTTTGCTTTTACCGAATTAATGAGGTTGCTTTGAGTATATGTACTAAGATGTAAATGTGAGAATGTATTCCAGTTACATAAGTTGAGATAGTTTACCGAGTAAATGGATATTAAGTAACAAAATAGTACCAAGATTATTATACTTGAGACCAAAATGAAACAACCTAAAAATTTATCGACCAAAATGGACATGTTAAAAGTTTAGGGACTATAATATAATAAACGTGAAAGTTTTAGAGCTTGAAAGAAATTTAAATAGAAAATTTACCATTTATTGTCGAATTTGATAAGATTAAAATTAGTTTTGCTGGAATCAAGCCTGTTTATAACTGAACAGTTGGAATTAGCTAACAAGTTTTCATGGTATATGCTTGACACAAATAACAGATTCAAATGTACTCCATCACTTACTTAATTCTTCACATTTTTTTTCTTGAATATTTGAACCAATGCATCTCTTTCCCTCAAAACATCTGCATATCCCTCTAGTAATTTGCAATTAAAATAGAATTTTATTTTCCCAAATTTGAAAAAATTATATCAATTTCTAAGGGTTTTTTTTTTTTTTTTCCCTTTACATGATGTTTAGAAAAGATGATTATGTTATCATCTTACTCCTCTATTTCTATGTGATTTGCAAAATTTAAACATCATATTCTTCTTCATGTCTTTGGTATAACTAGTGTATGTGGCTTATTCTACATTAAGAAAATTTAATTTTTAGTGCTGCAGGAGTATTATTTATTTTTATCACACTATAGTTTTATATTCATATCATTAATATTGATGGACTCCACATCACTTTTAATTTAATACTGACGTAGTAGTGAATGGAGAAGAGTATGTTTTACAGCAAAATTTCCCATCCTATCTATGTCAACTATGTTGATTATGTTAGACTTGAATCTATAAAAGGTTATCAAATTTTGCCCATCAACTTGGCTACTTGTATTAATTGCCACCCTAATCTTTCAATTTCATCAAATTGGATCCTAAAATTAATTGATGCTGTAATTTTTACTATCTATTCAATTTCTACTAATTCACTCATCAGTTTTAGCATAAAAATATTATAAAAAATTCTAAAAACTAATTATTCAATGAAAATCAAATTTTGCAGAAAATTAGGTTTGATCGGTGAAAAAAAAAATTGACTATTAAATAACTCAGTTAAAATTTACAAATTTCAACAAATTTCAACAAAATCTAGCTCTAAATTAGTTGCCTTAATCTTATCAATTTCATACCAAATATAGGTTTTACAATTTAATGGAAACGTTATGAAAATACTGGAAGGTAAAAATTGACCGTTATGAAAATACTGGAAGGTAAAAATTGACCGTACCTAAAAATATAAGTAAGATTGCAACATTTATCCAAATTTAAAATTCATGAAATTGAAAGTTTAGAATAAAAATTGATATATCTAGAAACTTCAATGCAGAAATTGATCATTTTCTTCATAAGGGAGTAAAAATTTATAAACCATAAGATTGTGGAACTCAATCAAGTAAAAGGTAAGTTCACTCAAAGAAATAATATGTTTTGATGATCAAGCTTTTTCTTCGACCAATCAAAGCCATAGATATTAGCCATGAACAAGTTGTAGCACAAATAATGACAGAAGACTTCCATTCAAGCAAGCTCGACAGTGAGGAGATTATCTTCATAAAATCATTTATTCAGTTGAAACAGAAAACAGAGCTGCAAAGAGGAAAGAAATCAGACAAAAGGAAGAACGGATACGCATCCGAGTCGTGAAACGATCACGGCCTTATCTACCATATGTCTACAGAAATGGAGCTCCCACATAATAGTTTGACTCAGGTTAAATACAGCAGATGATCTACATCTACATCCATAAGAACATGATACACATACCAGCAGCAGCTAAAATGTCAGCTCTGTTGGATTCCACTTGGCCATGTCTGGTTCTTGACAGGTTCAAGGATAGCTTCAACCTCTGATAGAGTTTCCTCGTCCCTCCCAAATGTTGCAAGTTCTTCAGCAGCTGCAACATTTTGCTCCACCTGATTTCAAATTGCTACAACTTGGTTAACATGCATTCTCTTTAGATTTTGAGCATGAGAGAAAAAGTTGTGTTCGGCTACTATCAATTCATGGCATCAGTCATGATATTAAATATCCATCGACACGTTGACATGTCCATCGACGTTTCCATGTATCCATGGGTTTGACATCGACACGAAGGTAAATCAACATTTCTATCATATTACAAAAAAATCGACAAAATATGAAAAATATCAACAAAATGTCACTAATATATACATAATATTAATACGAATAATTGGAAATAGAAAAATATTTATTTGTTAATTTAAATATTTTTTCGATTTTTTAATTTCGTTAACTTTTACAGAAATATCCATTGACACCAACATTTTATCGATATTTTCATGAAATTGAGACCTTGACATTTCAATCAACATGATATTGAAAACCTTGGCATCAGTCAGTATTTTGCATTCAGTAATTAAAACAAAGAAAATCCCTGCCTGTTGAAACCTACAGATACAACCTTCTCACAAAGATTGATGTTTACAGGATCCATCAAAGGAGGCTCATCAGGAGCCAGTTTGGACACTGTTAGTATGAGAAAATCCCTTTTAGAAAATATCCTCATACTTCTTTAAGGTTAAAAAAAGAAAAAAAAAAAAGCTTCTCATACACCAAGAAACTCTATTAACCTCTCCTTGGAACTCTCTTTCTAAATTCCAAACATTTTTGCAATTGCGCTTCAACCTTGATCAGTGCCAATAGGAATGGACTGTCACTATGCAATCTCCTTAGAGGCTTTGGTCTGGGACGATTCCTTAACTTTTCTTCTTTGAGTCATTCTTTCTAATAATATTTTTATTTCCTACCAAAAAAAGAAGCTGGAAATCCCAAGGTCTATTGAAGCGCCATGAACTTGTAGGCATGATACAACTAGTTCTCTTTTTTATTAATCTTTCCATTCAGTATCTTTGTAAAACTCACCCATTGACAGGATTCAAAGTCTTTTGCTGAATAAGATATAGATAAATAAAGTCTTGTTTTGTTTGTTTTTTTTTTTATTAAGAAACATGTATTTCATTGATGATATGAAATATACAAAAGGGCTTATAAGCAAGTTACAAAAACGCCTTCCAATTTGCTATGAGGTCGTTTTGTTTTTTTTTTTGTTTTTGTAGTTGTTTGAGTAGAACTCACATAATTGAACAAAACATATCTCCTTACTATAAGCAGGAGCTCCTCCTTACTTTCTTACATGGACTACTATTATTGGTTTATTTTTATTACATGTAATAAATAAGTGCATCCCGATAATACTTTGCCACAATAATATAGGCACAAAAGTATAAGCTTAGAAGAGGAAATTACCAACTGATGGATACGGAATTAGTATAAGACGTAAAAGAGAAAATACACTAATTTCAGAAAAGAAAATTGAACTCAAGATATTTAAAGTAATATGGAAAAAGAATAAAAAGCAATGAGATTCTTGAAATACCTGTCTGACAGAGTTCATGCCAACCAGCACTGTTGAAATATCTTTGTTTGACAAGCTGTATTGGAGGGCTAACTTTGAAATATTTTTTCCTTTCTTTTTACAATGAGCAGCTGCAGCTTGACATGCAGACTGTAGCAATTTTAAATAAGAGAACAATATTACTTTCAGTATAAAGTTAAAGCTCAAACAAAACAGAGTGGGAAAAATAAAAGATTAAATCACAGACACAAGTAGAGCAAATGGTTTTGGGTTTGCTTGTGTGGTCAAACAACCTAGTATTTACCACATACTATTATCAATACCTAGAAACTTAATTTTCTTCCAAGAGATAAAATTTCCATGATAGAATGAGAAATGAACTCCCCCAAACAGATGCCTTCTTTACATGACATTGGTCAATTGAGAATGAGAGCTTTCCATGCTCTATCTTGTTAAGTTTAAACTTTGAAGCTAATGAAACAAATTTTTATGGAAACTGTAGTTGCTTTGCATCAAAATCAAAGAGAAGTGCAGGAGAAATGGAACCTTCAATTCTGGCGAAGCTGGGTGCCATTCTGGAGGACCACTATCAGTTAGAAGTCCCATTGCAAGAGGAGAAGCAGTGATTACTCCAATTCCCTTACTCTTCAAGTAAGGTACCAGATCTAACAATGTTGAATCGTTAATGCTGTAGTGACAATATGAAAGAATCACATCAACGGAGCCAGGAGGTACTCGATCAAGCACATACGTAAAAATTTCCAATGGAAGCCCTGTAATACCAATGAAATGGATCTTCCCAGATTCCTTCAGCATTTGAAGTGCAGGAATCGTCTCATTCACGACCTGCAATAAACTTAATCAGCTGAAGATCTACATTTGCTTTTGTACTATAAATGAAAATAACCATGTTGATAACACAGAAACAAATGGTCAATCAAATCAATCAAATCAATCAATCCTTAAAGATAAATAACAAAGCATCAGATAAGTCACAACCTGATCGAGAGATCCAAATTCGATATCATGGCATTGCAGTATATCGACGTAATCGAGTTGTAGCCTTGCCAAACTCTCATCAATGCTCCTAGTCACCCTCTCAGCACTGAAATCAAAACCCTCAGCATATCTCCCACACTTGGTTGACACTACATACTCACTCCTTGGAACTCCTAGAGCCTTCAGTCCCTTACCAAGCATCTTTTCTGATAACGTCCCTCCATAGTACCTTTACATATGTTTAGTGTGGGAAACCCAAATTAAGTGCTAGAGCTAGACACTAGCAACAAAATGAATGCAGAAGATCAAGCATTGGATAATTCCCAAACTCACCAATTTTGCAGTAGACATCTCAATAGTTCTTCAAACAGAAAGTAGAAATTGAAAGCTAAGGCTAAAAATTCACTCCAAACACAATAACAACGAATCCAATTCCTCCAACAAGATTTTCCCAGTTAAGAAACAGAGCGAAAATTCGGACCCCAAATTGAAAGGGAAAGAAATTACGTACGGGGAGGTGTCAAAGAAGTTAATGCCGAGGCGAAAGGCTTGGCGAACGGAGGCGACGGCATCGTCCTCAGAAACGGGGCCGAAGACGCTGCCAAGAGGCGAGGCACCGAAGCCCACACTGCTGATTTTGAGGCCGGTGTTTCCCAACTTGCGGAGCTCGAGCTTGGGATGCGATGCCGCCATTGATTCAGAGGAAGGTCGGACTGAGGGTATAAGGAAAGCAATTTCGGAAGATAAACGCCAAGTTAAAGGGAAATGCGCAGATGGGGCCTCTAGAATTCAATTATTCGAGATCCGTTCCCATGTTTTGGGTTGATCATCTACACGAGGCCCCACTGGACCCGATACAGCGAAGAATTTCGCCATTGGAGACACGAATTAAGAGCAGAAGGACACCAATCAAGTAAGAGGAACTCGAGTAAGAGTATAGAATCAAGAATGAAGCAACACAACTTTAGTTTATGCTTCAAAAACCACTTCTTTTCCTTCTAAAATCACTCCCAAAATTACTTCTATTTAGAATGATAATGTTTGATAATCGATGTTTCAAACTGTTGTTGATGGAAATGTCCGAGGCTTGAATTTTATGGGGTGTCGTGGAAAATAAATATTTAAATTAGTAAATTAATATTTTACCATTTTAAAATAAACTAAAAAAGGTCTGGAATAGTTTGGGTGGCTTGGGACGACATCAAGGAATATCCTTAGTGGCGGTTTGGCAGTTTATTTTTTGGGAATGTAGATATTCGACATCTTTCAGATGTCTGAAATCTCATATGCCCGGAATTTTAGAGGTCCAGAATTTCAAATAACCGCATTTGTTTTGTACGAAAATTTATAAGGATATATGAGAATATTTTGATATGAACGTTTGTTTTGCACGATTTATTTACGGGAATATTGTAAATTTATGTAATGTTCCAAAAATGTCCTTAGCGGTCGTCGTATAATTTATATATTAAATTTAATATTATTTGAATTCATATAAAAATTGTACTTTTATTAATTTTATATTATATTTTTATGTCAATTTTAGTTTATGTTTGGTGACTAAAAGATTGCCCCCTATATTTGAATTAAAACAAATTAAGATATTATACCATTGACTAATGTTTATTTTATATCTAAATGTAGCATATAAATAAAATTATATTTAGACATTTATGAATGAATTAGTGCATACATTTATTTTTAAAATAAGATAAAATAAATGAGAAATAAATACTATTTGATGAAAAAGTATTATAGAACAAAATCGATGATGGACAAAATTGTCAAAAGAAGATGCCCTGAACACGGGAATCTTAGAAACTCCACCATGTTATAGGAGGCATCTAAATTTTTTTTTTCTTTTCTGAACCATAGATAGCTTGAATAATTGAGAGTTATGGCCACCATTTTGTTGTACTCATAAAGAGAAAAAAGACAGTAAAATTGGAAATGTTTGTCACATGTATCTCAATTTATTAAAAAGTTGTTCGTGTACCATTATGCTTTTTTAGTATACCAATTAGCACTAACATGGGTGATGAGATATTTTCGAGTTCGTCCAAAGGACAAATTCAGCCTCGCACCTACCAACCAAACCTTGCACCTCAATTTAGGCCTATGAGAAGTGAAAAACAAATTATTAGATATGATTGAGACAATGGCTGTCCCATGACCATCTCCAATTAGATGCACGTTCAAAAACATTATCCTTAATAACTATTCAGAATATACCTGGGTAGTTTCCTAATTCATGGGTGGTTTGTTCTAGTTAGATAAAACTCGCTCAGTTAACTAAAGTTGGTATACTAGGCTGACAACTTCAAGTACATGAAGACCATCCTTATATTCTTCCAATGTGGGACAACTTCCATTCCAATATTAATTGACAAAACCCAACACAAGTCTTTCTCTATCCCTAAAATCTTAAAAAGACGGTTATGTTTCTCATTCATTATACTCTTTCATGAGCAAATACGAGGTCTCAAGACTTATGATATATATTATATATATGATACACATACAAATTTGAGTGAATTATCGCACGAGACTCGCGAAATCCTAAACCAAAAAGTAAAAAGCAAAAGAAAAATTTAGAATCACTTTCCAAATAGAATTCTTCATATATATTACATATAATAATCTTTGATTTTCGCCGTTCTTCACAAAATTTTCCTTCAAACCCCTAATCTCTGCTCAATGGAATATCAAATCTCCCGCTATTCAAATCTCATAGTCGAACTGCAGATTCCTTCACCGGAAACCGAACAGCCTCCGCAAAATCCATTGCCGATCGAACAAATCGGCCTCGTCTTCACCTTCCGGAACAAACGCAGCTGCTTCGACGTAGCAGAGGACGGCGAATGGACGCTGGTATGGCAATGGCAAGACCTACGAATTCCACTCTGCGACCACCAATTCCCGGCCGCAATCTTCAATCGCGGCGGCGACTCCCTCTTCCGCCGCCTCGCCTGGAGTTTCGATCGATTCGAGCAAGAAATCGACGCCGAAATCGTCGCCGACGCCCTAATCGAGCGGTGGATTCAGATCAGAGACGAAGCGAATTCGAGAAGCTCGAGCAGAGTATTCGCGATGACAGTGGATTTGATTCTGTGGAGCGTCGAGGCGCGCCATGAAATTAGACCGGATGGAATGAGCGTGGCGGCGGGAGAAACCGGAATGGTGCCGGCGTGCGGCGGAGCGGTGACGGAGATGTTGAGGAGAATCGAAATCGAAGAACAGGCGAGAAATTGTGTGATCTGTTTGGAGGGATTGAGAAAGAAGGGGGAATTTGGTTTGCAAATGCCGTGTTTACATGTGTTTCATGGACGGTGCATACGAGAATGGCTGAAGAACAGCCATTACTGTCCAATTTGCAGGTTTCAAATGCCYACACAAATCTAAGAGAAGAGATCRGAAYTAATTTTAGGGTTTTTTTTTTGGTTGTTTCTTCCTTTTATTAGTTTTTGATATATCACCAATTTTTCTGATCGGTTTATAAACCCTAAACCCTGATTTTAACAAAGTTTCAGGATCCATGTTCTAAATTTTGGTTGAAACATAGTGATAGTCCCTATTAACAATTTAGTTTCTTCTATACTTAGTCATAACTATTCTAATTTTTGGTTTTTGTTGTTTTTAGTATTTTGGTTTTTGGTTTTCTGTTAAAAAAAAAAACGATGTATGTTTGATAACAATTTTTTTGTTTTTTGTTTTTAGAAGATGAGTGAGGATCTTCTCCCCCATCTTCGTGCTCGTAAAAATGTCTCCGAAAAATTATCGGTTTTATAATTATTTTTATAATTTAAGTATAAAAAAGTGTAATAAATATATATTAATTATTTAAAAAATGGAATCGGGGACGGGGATATGGTCGGAACATGCATTTTGTATTTTTGGGATCCGATCCTGCGGAAATTTTTGTCGTGAAATGTAAATATTGGAAGATAAATTTTAGAGAGATAAATAAAAAGAATTAAGAAAAATTAATGAAAGAAAAGTTAAAAGACAAAAAGAGAAAAATTGTAGAGAAAAAAAAAGTCGAGAGGGAAAGATATGTTGAAGAAAAAAAAGAAATTATAAAGAAAGAGAAAAGTTATAGTGGAAAATTTATAGATAAAAACAAGATTCAAAATAAAATTTTTAGAGAAAATAAATAAATATAAAGATAAATAAAAGTTACAGTGAAAGAAAATTGAACGAAAAAATAAAATACAATTTAAAATTATAAAATATTAAATTTTTAGGGAGATAAATGAAACTGGTCGGAAAAAAACAAAAATACACCAAAATAGACAAAAATACACCAAAATAGAGAAATTTAGAAATAAAAAAAATTTAGAGTGAAATAAGTTTTTTAGAGATAAATATGAGAAAGAAAAAAAGTTGAATATTTAGAAGAGCAGATGAGATTTTGAAAAACAAAAGCTGTTTTTGAAATTTTTTTTTAAAAATTATTTTTGAAAAATAAAACACAGAAAATTGAATTGGTTATTAAACAACCATGTTTTTTAAAAACAAAAACAAAAAATGAAATGGTTATGAAATGAATATTTTTTTTTTTATTTTTATAGTATAATATGTGGGTGGGAACTCGAACCCTTCATGTTGGATACATATACCTTGTTTTGGTTGGAATTGTATATATATTTTTATTATTTATTATTATTTTTGTGGAAATATGTAACTTTCTTTAAAAAAATCATTCTCAAAATATAAATAAAAATAAGTTAAAAGACATATTTAGTCTTGATCATTAGTCATGTACTTTAAAATTGATAACAATTTAACTCTTAGCATTAAAAATAAGATTAGATTTAACGAAAGAGAATGTGTACGAATTAATAATGCAAAATCAATCTATGAACCCTAAATTAAATAATCCTCTTCGACAGAATTCCTTCTCACCATTTTTATTTATAGTTATTACACACATCTTCTTACCATCGCATATTGATTTTCGCAATCAAAATTCATGGCACAAACAAATTATAAGCCAATAAATCCAACACAGGAAAAATTAGCCGATAGCTGAGAATGAGGAGAAGAAATATGACGAATAAGTTGAAGAGCCAAACAAATAGGATTAAATCGTTACTTTTGAAGGTTCAAGGATTAAATGGTTACTTTAACGAAAGTTCAGGCACTAAATGTGTTTTTTAACCATAAAAATATTTGTTTTATCATTTTTTTAATACAACGTGTGGACTAAATCGCTTTGGCTTGTTTTATCATTTTTAAATCCGTGAAGGTTGGAGTTATGCAACTCTAAAAACAGAAACATTCTTATTTTGGCAGACTTTGTTTCTAAGTTAGTGATTTAATAATTATTGCAGATGAATAATTTCTTTATATTATAGATATTTTTTAATTATAAAACTTCGCTTTAAGATTCTAAATTTTAATTATCATTCTTTTATCTCTTTTATCATACTTGATGATTTTATTCCCTATCAAAATAATAATAATAATAGGAAAAAAAAGAAAAAAGAAAAAAAATTATCAAGGCATTTAGGAAATTGTAAAACAAAATTTTGAAAACTACTTTGTTGATTTTCAAATTTTGGCATACATTTTGAAAATGTTTATAAAAACTGTGTAAGATTTTATAAGATGCTTATATATATTATTAGTGGATTTTAAAAAGTAGAAAGTGTCTAATTGATTCTCTGTTACTCTTTAAAAAACGAAGGTTATAATTTGGTCACAAAAACAGTATTTAATATTTATAACAACTAATTTTGAAA